AGTTGAATGATATTTCTTATACAGCTAGAAGATACAGGCTAACAAAGCACAACAACAATGTTAATATGGCAAAATATATAATCACGAATGGGAATAAAAATCAATATTTTCTACTCTTCTTCACAAAATTTACTTGTGATGTAGTATTCAATCTTTTGTTTGGTTTGGAGTTGAATATCTTGTGACTGAACTTTATTTGACCATAATAGATAGCAACAATGGCACTCTACTCAAAACAGGAAGCAAATGACCAATTTTAGTTGAAGATTTTTCAGACTAGATAAAGATTAACAAGAAGGTATAAGGAATATGAGCTGATCACAAATTAATATAGAAATCACAATAGCATACAAACAGATTTTTTCTTTAAAACAATAAGTAGTTTTTTCTTCTTTGTAGTTTTACAAATATGTCCTACAGGTTTTAAGGAGTTTTTTTGCAGATTATTATAAATATTCACATGTAAACATATATATGTATCCCATTTTTACTTTTTTAAAAATTTTTTTAGATCTAGTTAGAGCCAATAGAATATAACTAGTCTCCGGCTGACTATGTTCAGATGGTTTTCTAAATTTTTGTTTATTGGATAGTGGATAAGAACTTAGAGGTATATATCTTGGCAAGTTAGTTCTCTACCTATACTATTAGGGCTCTAGCATTAATAATATAGAAGGCATGGAGGGCAACAAGTCGACTGGTAGGTAGCTTGCTATCTTAGGTAGTTTAAGAAATAGATAGAGTCCGACTTTGTCATAAAATGTAAGAGCACTTAATATAATATTCAATAAACAAGGTATATGCCAGTTGTTAAAAAAATAAAAAAATAAAAAAAAAATAAAGATATATTAAAAACTTATTAAATCAAGTTTAGTTTTTTAAAAAAATTTTATATTAAAATAATATTAATATTAAACTTATTAATTTAATTGTTTATAGATAAATATTAATTATTTTGAAATATTATTTAATATAAATTAATACTAATAATTGTACTATAACAGATTATAATTAATTTTTTTTTTCAACCATTGCCAAAGCCTACTTTTATTGATTTTAATTAACAAATACATATAATTAATATTATAAAATAATTTTGTATCTTTATATTTCCTATATATATTATTGTTAATTACTTATAATAAAGCTATTTGAAAAATCTCAAGAATTTAATTCCATATGGCTTATTGCTTTCCAATTGAGAAGTTAGCATATTTAAACTTTGTTAGTATATTATCTTTATTGATAGATTAATATAAATTTTATTTGTGTTGTTATGTTATGTTTATAAGAAAGGATAAGAAATTATAAATAGAAATGATATTTATTTTGATAAATAAAATCTTTCTTTAAGAAACTAAATTTATTAGAAATTATTCTTTATTATCACCTGTAACTGAATATTACTATTTAATTTCTAACATTTTAATTAATAACAAAGAATGTTTAAGAAACTTATACTGCCTTTTAAAATATAACTATCTTTTATAATTGTATAATAACCAGCTGAAATCTTATACTGCCTTCTTGAAATAATTATTAACCATTATTTTTAATAGTGTTTCAAACCTTATGTGAGTCTATTTGATTCCAATTTTTGAGACCATACTAATACTACATATATACTGTATATGTTTTTTTAAAGAATAATATTTAACAGTTAGAAAAGTTTTATATACAGTCAAACCTCTTTATACTGATATTTTTTATACCGATACTTATTAAAATCTCACTATACCGATATTTTCTCAAAACCATTCTTAATTAAAGTCATTTTTTTATACCGATATATTTTCTTTATACCGATATTCTAAAAAAAAAAAACCACCTTTAATTAAATTGATTTTATATACTGATATTTATAATAAAATTTTATATACCAATCATATCGGTATAAAAAGGTTTGACTGTAATATTAATATATCTTAGACTTATTCTGTTGCAGAATTTTGTCTTTAACAAAATAATAATAAATAATAAAATTCTTATATCCAATACTTGTTAAAAAAAAATAATAATAAATAGTTATAAATAATAAATTAATTACTAAACTTTTTGCCAGGAAGTATATACAAGTCAAGAAATTTGCTTCCCTTTTGTGGTTAAGGAATTTTTGCACGATTTTATCACGTGGCTTATTATTTTATTATTAATGTGAATAAGATACAATCTACACTTAAATCATGTTCTTCCGAAGAAACGTTTTTCTTAAACGTGTTTTTTCAAGATCTGCATTTCGGCAGGATACTATATTCTTGGTAGGTCTCCGGGAATATTCAAATGGGAATGCTTTTTGACATTTCTAAATTATTATTTCTTGTCAATATTTTTTTAATGCAGAATACTCGTTCAAACGGAAAATTCGATTATTCAATAAAATTTTCGCCTAAAACCACTTCCGCAAGATTGACTCAATTCTCAAAGAAATTAGAGACAGGGCCGGGGTTAGATGAATTTATCATTTCAGGTTCGCAACTGAATCCGTTTGGCTCGAATGAAGGAGAATTAGACCGTGAGGTGAATGCTATTTCCGTGCAACAGACAGTTGGAGAAAAATTTAGGAAACCGTGAGCATAATTTGTAATTTTATTTTATTTTTATTTATAGATAATTGTATGCATTAGAACATAATGCATGTTATTCTGCGAATTAAATTATCAAAGTGTTATTGACTAGCATTCTGTCAATTATTTTAGGCATCAACGATTACCTGAATGGCTTAAAACTAATATTCCCGTCGGAGAAAATTATACGAGGATAAAAAATGATTTGCGTGGTTTGAATTTACACACAGTGAGTCTTAACCTAATGTTATTTTATTAGATTAAATCGCATTACTTTATCCTCTTAAATTCATAGGTGTGTGAGGAGGCGCGTTGTCCAAATATAGGTGATTGCTGGGGCGGTGGTGAACATAAAACTGCCACAGCAACCATAATGCTTATGGGTGATGAATGTACGAGGGGATGCAGATTTTGTTCGGTAAAGACAAGTAAAAATCCCAAACCTTTGGATGTCAATGAACCAGAGAACGTGGCTGAAGCGATTTCAAAGTGGGGTCTGGATTACGTCGTATTAACTTCGGTTGATCGGGATGGTATTTTAAATTGTTCATTATCGTTGAAATTTTTTTTTTTGGTTAGGAAATAATTTATTTGAAAATTTTTAGATCTTCCGGATGGTGGATCCGAACATTTTGCAAAAACCATCAGATTATTAAAGAAAAAGTAAATATGAATTTATTACATTGTCTAATAACATCGTTACGATTTTAATGTAATATGGATTTTTCAAAGGGCACCACATATATTAGTAGAATGCTTAACAGGAGATTTTCAGGGTGAATTAGAAAGCGTGGATAGAGTGGTACACTCGGGGTTAGATGTATATGCACATAATGTTGAGACAGTAGAGGCGTTAACACGATATGTGAGAGATCATAGGGCAACATTTAGGCAAAGCCTGAAAGTATTAGAGCACGCTAAGAAATGCAAGCCGAGTTTAATTACAAAGACTAGTATAATGCTTGGTGTTGGTGAAACCGATGAAGAAGTGATGGATACTTTGAGAGGTATTGTATTTTTACTTATTTTTCTTCGAATTTTCACTGATTCCATAATAATTGTTTAAACACAAATTATATCGACAGAATTACGCAAGATAGAAGTAGATTGCGTGACACTTGGTCAGTACATGCGTCCCACCAAGCGACATATGAAAGTGCACGAATACGTAACGCCTGAAAAATTCGAGTATTGGAAGAAAGTAGGCGATGATCTTGGATTTTTGTACACAGCTTCTGGACCATTGGTTAGGAGTAGTTATAAAGCGGGTGAATTTTTTATTGGAAACATATTGAGGAAGAGACAAGAATAACACGCCGACACTTTCAGAATAATGAGTATTGATAAGATGTTACCATGATTGTAGAATCATGGCGTGACAATATCTTGTTAAAGCTAGTTGCGGGTGAAGGAATATTTATATTCCAGCTTTAAGTAAAAATTCTGTCACGCCGAAAATTAGATATACAGTATACATCGAAAAAATAATTGGACATCTATTTATGTTACGATTTAATATAAAAAATTTAAATATATAATTTTATAATGTAATAATAATATTGCCTTAAAAAAAAATAGTAAAATACAATTGATAAAATTATATATATATAAATTATGGATACAATAATAGAATATTATAAAGTGGTTACATTAAAAATTATTTAATTTTTAAATCATTATTTTTTTATTGCAAAATTGAAATTTTATTATAAAAATTTCAAGAATATGTATATGGGTTTTCATATTAATTAACCATTTATTAAATTTAAAATTGAAAGTTTAGATTGTTGAGAAATCGCAGTATAGAAGTATTTGGTCAAGTCAACATCCCATAGCCAAGGTCAATCAGAATTCGTATATTAAATTGACAAGAAAAGCAAACCAATTTTTTCTTCTTTTTTTTTTTTTGGATCTATTATGTATTACTAAGATAGCCGATTTAAAGGAATTCACATTTTTGAGAATGAAAAATAATCTAATTGTATAGTACAACGAAATATCCTGATAGTATCAAGTTTTGGATAAAAGATAAAATGCGAGCAAGAAGAATACACAAGTTACTAATTAAATATTTCAAGATATTTACCAATAAATATCTAGCGATGACTAAATTGTCCAACACCTTAGACAGGCTGAATGATGGAACTCAAGCGTTATCAGTCGTTCATACTGACCTCTGTTTGAATTTGCTTGTGAATGTAACACAAGTAGTCGACATACGACATTGCACCATTGTTCTCATCTTCAACCAATAAACTGTTAAATTCCAACTCTGAAGGATCCATGCCCCTTCGTACAATGGTCAGGCGTAAATATTTCGATCTTTGTGATTGCAAGTATGTTATTATAGATCGGATTCGTATGGACGTTGGATTATCTAGCGCTGGAAGATAGAACTGATAGAACAATCTCACGTTAAAACAATATAAAGAATTTGAGAACTGAATGAAGACAAGCATTATCTTACGAGTTTCGGATTAATATGTTCAATCGAGTCAACATCGAATACGCTGCGAATGAAATCAGGAGAAATTTGGTGACCCAGCCAAAACATTAGTATCTGACCGTTTTCTGAAAATCAAAAAAAAAAATATTTAGTAAAAAACTTTACAAACTAAAACTCAAACCCGTTAAGATTCACTTACCCAAGAGATATGCCCCTTCATTACTAAGCCTAGCTAATGACGTGCGTAGCAACTGTGGTAGCTTAACTCTACCGAGTTGATCAGGAAGCCCATCCTTAGTGCAGAATAAGTTTAATTGTAAAAAAGATGCAGCCCAATTTCGAAAAGATCGCTAGAGAATTTTTAATTACCTTATCAGAAAGTTGGTGCACGGGGAAAAGTCGCGGATAAAGGAAGACAATACTTTCTGAAACTCCAATACTTTTTATTAAACGCATGCAGTGAACCCGAACGTCGCTGATCAGATTTCCCCCTAAAATTTTCGAAGGCCTTTATTACAAGGATCTTGGAAACAAACAAACAAACAAATGAATGAACGAATGAACCCTCTAAAAATAAGTTTCTTACCACCACAAAGAGCTTTAGATTTTAACATCGTCAAAGTATATAAGGGGAACAATTTGAAAGCTTCGGGAAGAATTAGCTGACCAGAAGAACTGGAGGATGCGCAATGTCTTCTATATGCCATCAATATTTTAACGCATTTGTCCGTCAAATTGTCTCGAATATCTCGTAGCGATTTTGTTATTGCGTTTGAAACAGCTTTTGTTATAAAAATTTATCAGACAAGCTCGACCATACTTTATTCCTAACGGAGGACATCACAAATAATCAAATACCTTGCTTAGCCAAGAAATTAACAGTGGTATCCATCTCCGCATGTCTAAAAACATTTCCCAGAAGTTGTGTGACTGTAACGCTTAAATTATGAGTCCGCACTCGACGCTGGCCACTTGATGTTGTGTATAAAAGTGCACACTGGATATAAGCGTCCGTTTTTTCGTCAAGTTTACCATCATACTTGAGCAAGGCGCCAATTGCCTTGTCACTATCAATGCCCGCAAGTTCTACGTCAGTCGCGTTACGCATATTAAAGTTGCCGAAATGATCCACAACTCTCAAACCTAGAGATTTCAAAGTTAATATTAATTAATTAATAACCGTCGGTAATTATCTTATGATCTCAATGAAATTATAACAGACCATTAGAACATCGAATTCTCATGAGCGCATTATATCCAAACTCTCTGGTAAGATTTTGTTTTAATTCATAAGAGAATCTTTCTCCATCCCTCTGAATATCAAAATTAGGATAATAGTATGTTTCACCGCCGGTTAGGCACGACAATAACCCTATATGTTTTAAGAAAGGAAATTACTCCAACTTCAAATTTTATAAACGAATACAACGTAAAACCCGATGGAGGTTTACCTACCAATCGTTGCAACGTCAATGTATGAATTAGGGAACAAAAACATGTCAACACTGATGCCAGAGTCAACGCACTCGGTTGCCAGCGTCTTGTAATAATTATCTTGAGGACCAAATAGAGTCCTTTCTTTATCAGAGTTGTATATTTTGGAATCTTCACGGTGTTTAATAGAACCGGGGCCGTACGTTGGCAAGGTTGTTTGAAATATGATTAGTTTTCCTCCAGTTTCACTCTACCATAGTCAACCCATAAATTAATCGTTTATTGGACAAAACAGAATATTTTATACTTAAAGGAGAATATCATATAAAATGAAGTACTTAAGGCTCCGCTGAACGTACCAAAGCCATATGTGACGCTTTAACAACAGCACCAACTACGGGTTCCGTAACCTTATTATCGACGAACATTGTTGGCAAAGATTCCAAGAGATCTTCAATAACGGTTCTTTGTTTCAAAATGAAATAGTGTCAAATCGTAAATATATATAGCAATTGTTAACCAAAGTCAAGAAAAATTCTTACCGTGAGTTATTTGGATCTACCAGAAGTCCAGAGTTCAGTGGCACAAAGATATCATTAACGTCGGAAACGACCAACATTTGAGCTTGCTCGAGTTGTGGCTATGAATATTTGTATGAGCCCTATTCGTCGAATTAATGAAAAAACGGACAGCTAATTCTCAAAAATAAGATACCTGTAAATTGTAAAAATGTACGTCCTTGTCAAAAGTAATGATGCCAATTCTGCCTCCTAATGGAATGCTGCCGGGAGAATTATACAGGATCTCGCGAATCGTATTCACACATTTCACAAGCATTCCACTTTTAACAGCGTTCAAGGATACGTCAATAGCAAAAATGCAAGATAATGGAGTTGGCGTCCTTGCCCAGTATTCCTAAAAACGGCGATGTTCAGCAAAAACGTATGGTTGTTTGAAAAATTTTTTTCTTCTTTGGTTGTTAATCCTTCCGTTTTTCTTTTTTTACCTGAGGGGCCGTGAATTCCACCGTTCCGTATTTCAACTCAGGTCGTTGCTCTATGTCAGTCCGCCGTCCGCTCATGTCCAAGTTGCAAAAGTATTCGGGTGGAACTTTGAAGAGAAAGATGATAAATATTTATTAAAAAAAAAAAGGAATAGGATAAAAAGAATTGGTTTACATGATCAAATAATGATTCAAACCTTCGTTAGAGAACGAACACATGTTGCATATAAATTTCTGCCCTCCTTCCACAAAAATCACGAATGGATTAATATATGTCTTGCATCGCATGCAACGGATTGGCCCCTGTTCCCGAAAATCGACAAGCTCGATTGGGGCCTATTATATTAATTCATCAAAAATTTAGGAAAATGTGGAAAGCTCATAAGATGGTGAGCATTGAATTGAAATCGAACCTCATCATTTTTCAGTTTGGCCAGAGGTTGTATAATGATACCCAGAGGTAAATGGGATGTTTGAAGGAGCTCCTCCGTGTGAGGTATAGAATATAATGTCAACCTCATGAACCGAGGGTTGGAATTACCTTGAAGAGAATACCAACGAGAGAAACATTTTTCGAGATGAATGAAATGCAACAGTAACGATCGTCCTCAGGAATTTAAACTCTTAATTCTACCTTCATCGATGGCTCTAAAGTCAGTACTTGCCAGAGGTATGGCTGATTTAGATAAGGTCATGTATGGATGTTCCTCGAATAAAAGTTGATCTTGTTCTTGAACAGTAACTGGTGACGGAATCTGATTAGGGTCAATCCGAGACCTGGAAGCATTTGAAATCGCAGGACGAGGCATAGACTGTGCCTGAGGAGGATGTTGGGCAGAAGGCGGAGGTGGAGGATGCATATATTGAGATTGATGTGAAATTGATTGCATAGGTTGTTGTTGCATTCCTTGTATGGGAGGAGGAGGTTGAGGAACCATTGGAGAGTACATTTGCTGCATCGGTGGTTGTCCCGGTAGTGGAGCATTATTCACAGGCGGTGGCTGATGATAGTTATTTGAAGTTGGTGTCAAAGGAGTATTCGAAAAGCCGTTGAGATCGGGACTTTGATGGTAGGCTCTCTTTGTACGATTCTGCCTAGGTGGTCTAGAATGTTGCTAAGATGAAAAAACATGGGGTAATCGTTGTCAGGAAAAAGCAACGATACGAGCAAATACTTTGTGATAGTGTTTGGATTGATAAAATACATTACATCGAGTTGAGGTTGATCCTGAATGGAAGGAGGACCCGGATTAATTTCTATATTACCCACTTGATTTACGATATCATCCATATGACCAACATCCAATCCTTGCGGTGGACGCATAGGACCTGGAGGACCCGGTGGCCTGGTAGGTAAGGATGATATCGTAGACTGTGGGTATGCAGAGCTAGGAGGTTGAACCATGGGCGGTCTTGATCCAGAAAAAGTGTTTACTTGCGGAGGTTGCGATTGAGCTGCTGCAATCATCTGTGGTTGACCTTGTATCATGGGCCCAGTTCCTAAAATAACAAGCAATTTCAATTATTTATTGGTTTTCAAGTTTGAAATAATTTGTGAAATGAACATTCGTTATCAACAAGATTCATTATACGTTTAAAGAAAAAATAGCAATCAAAAAAGGATCTTGAATCTACATCTTTTTGAATGCGTTATTCTCGTTTTAAGATAACTTTAAAGTATTGATAACGTGTGAGAAGCTAATCACTTTGTAAGTTTAACGGAAGAAAGGATAAAAACCTGGTGCAGCTACGGTTTGAGGGGGACGTTGACCAGGTAGGAAGCCGGGTCTCACATTTTGTGGTGGTGGTGGTGGTGGACGAAATGGCTGCGCGTTTCCTCCAACTGGTCGCCAACCAGGAAAATTTTGTTGTATCGGTGGGGTTGAGGATGATACAGGTTGAGATGTTAAAGGTTGAGATTGTGGTTGATTGGAAATAGGACGTTGCGTAGGTTGTTGGGAGTTCGGAGGTGGTTGTGTGTACATAATTTTTTTTTTTTTTAATAGTAAAAAACTCGACACTCGCGAAATTTTAAAATTTTTGTGAAAACCGATTTTTTTATGTAAGTAAATTTGGCAACATTTTATTTGTCGAATGTATCGTGTAACATAATCACGTGAATAACCGTAACTTTAAATGTAAAGAAGGAAAAGAGATCTATCTATCAAGATTGTAATAAAAATGAAGCTGGAGCTGGCGTTGGACAGAAATATGGTCTAGATATAGAATTAACTTGTAATGGTTTTTTGAAATTTTTGTTGGACGCGGGAGTTTCATCCCAGTCTTGAATGAGAATAAGTGGTACATCAACGTCTCCATGAAGATTTGATTCCACATCTTTTGGAAGAACGGTCAAGATAGGTATTTGCATTTGTGAAATGGCAAAGTCATCACCGAGAGCTGACTCTAACTTGTCATCCAGTGAGAATTCTTCCAAGTCGGATGAGTCTGAATCAAAATTGTGTAAAGAAATATGTGCGAGTGCATGAACTAAATCATCAGCCAACGTGACTGAATTTGGTGAGTCTTCGCGTATTTGGATCCAATTAGCGGATGGTGACCCCGGTGGAGAAATAAGCATATTTTTTTCAGATGCCGGGACACTGAGATACATTGAATTATCGAACTCATTAGAAATTGGAGTGTGCTGTAACAAATAATATTAAAAAAAAAAAATTAAAAAAGAAGTTATTGAAAATCTAAAGAGGACGTCACCCGTAAAATTTCTTTAACCTTACCGGTCCAAAATACGCTCGAACGGTATTGTTCAAAAAGGTTATCCTATCAACTTGAGCTTTAGCGATTA